TGCACTATTGATGGGATTCACACAGGGACAGCACATAAGTCAATGCTCGCGGGGAAAACTTTTTCCTAAGTTGCTCTGTGAGTTACTTTGAAAAGGAAGGCGCTGGTTGAGTGGCTTCCATGTGCCAATCCATGTGTTACCTCTTGCTGAGCTCTTTCAATAAACAGGGATAGAGAGGGTGGGAGAGAGGATTGGAGGGAGGAGGAGAAGGAAGGGAGGGAATGTATTGGGAGAGAGGAGTGATAGAGGAGGAGGGGAAGTAGGGAAGTAGAGGGGAATGTTGGAAGGAAGAACGAAAGTTGGAGGGGGGCGAAAGAGGGTGTATGGTGGGTCAAGGTGGTATATTGGGTTTGTATTTTGGGGGGTATTGTTGACAAGAGGGAGGGCTGTGTTTATTGTTCAATGTTATATGGCCCCGGTTATGCACAGTATATATGTGACTGTACGAAATGAAATGGAAATAAAACATATTTACCAAAAAAAATAACAACAACAATAACAACAATAACAACAATAACAACAGTAACAACAATAACAACAACAACAACAATAACAACAATAACAACAAAACCAGTGGTATTTGTGACACATTTTTAAATGTTCAGTTAATTGAGTTTCATGTTTAATGAAGAGATGATGATAATAACAAGAACAACAACAGCAACAACAGCAACACCCTCAGATTGGCTCTTTCCTAAAATACCTACATGGCCATTTCTAGTTCTTAGCAAATACAAAAGGAGCAGAATTTGATTTCCTCCCCTCTTCAGGTGATGCTCTCACAGAGCCCAATCTATTTATCATAGAGGAGTGTCGTCTCCTATACTAAAGAATTTCAATTTGCAGGATACCTACCCTGGAGATGCTTTTCTGTTGTTGACAGGACTTCTTTTTTTAAAAAAAAAAATGCATTAAAGCAGTAGAAACATTGCAAATGGCCACAAAATGTGCTATGTTTCTGTAAAATAATAATAAATAAATGGGCCCCTCCTGATAGCAGCAAGCTTTGCACCGAAGGATGGCCTAATATCGCACAACACAACTGCCAGATATGCGAGGCCTTTTTTCAACCGAGCCTTCGCAGATTGCAGAAATGCATGCACTTTAAAAAAAAAAAAGACATTTAACACTATGGCGCTGCGAAAATGACAGACTCTTGGCCTGAAGAGTTTTGGAACGTCGTACTTACTAGAAAATGACATTTCTCTCAAGGCTGACCGATTCGCTTACTCCTCACGTTTTTATTTAAGCGCGGAAGCAATCAATGTTGGCTTTCGCCGAGGCCGTGGAATATTTTTAGCTGCTCTGCAAGCATTCCTTATTTTTCTTCTTTTTTTTTTTAACCCGTCGCAAAATAATGCAGGAGGTTACTATCGTGGTAGGTAGTGGATACGAGTCACATACCCAGTTTGAAATGCTCCAGAGTTAAAGCAAAGGAAAGGGGGGGGAAAAAAAGACCCGGGGGGGGGGGGATATTGCACGCGGTTTTAAAAACCAAACATCGTAGAATTGAAGTACCTGGGAAACGCACGGTTAAAAAGGCAGTTTGCTACGGAGCCAAGGGGTTGTGAGCATTTTGAGCACTTTCACTTTCTCTGTGACAACACTGAGCACGCTCTGTACCCTGGTAAACTGGGATTTTAAGTGAAAACAGAACTGTTTGTGATGTTTTGCAAGTTTCGCAGGACAATGATTTCCAAGGATATCAAAGAAGGAAACCTTTCAAAGGGAGTCGCTTTACAATAACGTAAACAACCATTCGAAGGAAAATGGCAACGGGTGTTCAGTTTGTGTTAGTCGGGGTAAAAAACTGTCAAAAGGGAACGACGTGCCAGCCGCACAAACACCGATCCTTTTTAGCAGTTGGCGAAACTTGCAATATTCCCCTGCCATGCTAAAATGACTTTCCTGGTTTTGCCACCACGGGCACGAGATTGTTAAGCTTCCGAAATAATAGCAATTAAGAAGTGCTTAAGGGCTGCAAAGGAAAAGGGAGAAATCACGCAGAGGATTATCTCGCTAGATAAAAGGAAACGCAAAGGACTTACATGGATGCGCGA